CATCAGAGATAATAACAGATTGTTTCAACTATCAAAATATACTTAAATGTGCTATTATCTATTACAGTTAGTCCCTGACTTACCACTGTTTGTTTAGCAATTGTTCAAAGTTATAACAACACTGAAAAAACGTGGATTACAATCAGTCCTTGTAGCAACAGCACTTAGACTTATATACCACTTCACAGTGCTTTACAGCCCTCTCTAAGTGGCTTACAGAGTCAGCCTCTTGCCCCCAACAATCTCGGTCCTCGCTTTACTGACCTCGGAAGGATGGAAGGCTGGGTGAACCTGGAGCCACTCAGAATTGAACTCCTGGAGTGAGCAGTGAGTTAGCCCTGCAATACTGCATTCTAATCACTGCACCACCATGACTCTTATATTTATGATTATCACAGCATCCATATTATGACAGGATCAAAATTTGGGCACTTGGCAACCAGCATGTATGTTCAAAAGATGAAGCATCACGAGATCATGTGGTTACAATTTCTGATCTTCCCAGCCAGCTTCCAACAAGCAAGATAAATGAGGGAAGCTGGATTCACTTAACAACTGTATGATTCATTTAAAATTGCAGTGACTTGTTTAATAACTGTGGCCAAAATTTTATATCATAAAACCGGGTGTGAATTATTAACAACCACCTTGCTATGAAATAGAAATGCTGATCCCAGTTGTGGTTTTAATTCAAGGACTTCCTGTACTGGGGTGGTTTTAAAAAGTGAAAAATTGGAAAGTGATCCAAGACAGGGCACAATCTTGAATTTCAGGAGTTGGTTGTCTGATCGGTATCAGAGCAAAAGGCACCAGATTTATTTACAGGATTCTGGTGGCTCAGTGGCTAAGATGCTGAGCTTGTCGATCGGAAGGTTAGCAATTAAGCAGTTCGAACCCCTAGTGCCACGTAACGGAGTGAGCTCCCATTACTTGTCCCATCTTCTGCCAGCCTAGAGTTCGAAAGCATGTAAAAATGCAAGTAGAAAAATAGGGACCACCTTTGGTGGGAAGGTAACAGTGTTCTGTGCACCTTTGGCATTTAGTCATGCCGGCCACATGATCACGGAGACATTTTTGGACAGCGCTGGCTTTTTGGCTTTGAAACGGAGATGTGCACCGCCCCTTAGAATCGGGAACGACTAGCACATATGTGCGAGGGGAACCTTTACCTTTAATTTTCCTTACCTGCCACAGCCTCCCCTGGAGGACCAGGGCATGGGAGTTGCACACATAGCACTACTTGTGTATTTCCTAAGTTACTCCATCTCTGTGTTGCGATCAAAGGAAGATGAATGAATGGTTGGTTTTGCAAGCTATTGAGAGTGCTTTCTTCAGTGTTCATTTCAATTTATAAGAATGCATCATAGCGACAGGGAGGGCATCCAGCCATTAAACACTCTGCTAGCTCTATTCAGTTGCCCAGACTCCACCCCGCGAGGGATTATCAGGCCATTAAAAGATGATGATGATGATTGTGAGGCACCATAGAGTTCATTGGGTCTTCTGTTTTAAGTTCATTCTCATCCATCATGTGCTTCAAGGGAAGATTTGTTTCAACAGCAATAAAAGCTTGCCATGTTCATCCCTGTGCAAGAGAGTTACTGTTGCGATGGCTTCTTTCCTGGCTTTTCAGAAATGCATTAAGTCCTGGGATAGTTCTGCAGCTTGCATTATTCACGACACGTTTTGTTTTGCTTTCAGGGAGAGGCTGAGATCGTCCCTTACGTGCCGAAGAATGTAATCTCGCAGCTGCCTCATTTGTCAAACTGCATTTTTCTCTCTCTCCTCTTCCTATTCTTAGAGCCCAGAGGCAGTTTTGTCTAACAAAAATTAAGTTAGCAGATTTCTGCACTTCTAGATGATTGAGTTTTGCCTGCACAAGAGAAGCTGTCTGGTTCTTTTCTCACATATGGTGCAAATCAGCCTCTCTCTCTCCCTCTCTCTGAGCTCAGCCTTTTAAGACGGTAACCAGAACTGCAGCCAAGAGTCAGTTTCTGGAGACACTGGCAGGCGCCTTCTGGTGCACAAAATGCCGCAGGAATTGACAAGCCCTGACTTCCAGGATGTGTTTCATCCCAACCCCCATTTCTGTGGATTCCTTCAGAACCTAGGAAATTGTAACATGTGTCAGCAATAAACCACTGAGAAACAAGGTCTGATTTCCAATTGTTTGGGGGAAAGAAGAAAAGGTTACATTTATTTCTTTAGGGATTATTTTCTTCCTTCTGTTCAATCATCTCTGATTCCGAGAGGCTCAGACAAGTCCCTGCAGTTTTCTTGGCAAGCTTTTCAAAAGAAGTTTGCCATTGCCTCTTTTCTATGGCTGGAAGAAACTGACTGGTCCAAGATCACCCAGTTGGCTTTGTGCTTAAGGTGGGGCTAGAATTCAAGGACTTCCAAATTCTTGCCTGATGCCTTAACCACTACTGGCCCTAAGGTATTAGCAAAAAGAAAGAAAATGAAAATAAAACAAGATTTGCTGCTTGCCCCAAAATTCTAACACTCCCCTTGTGGAGCCCTGACCATTTAGGTGATGTTGTCAGCACAAGCTTTAGCATCCCACCCAATGAATACATAAGAGAGTCTTTTGACTGCCATCAGATGGCATGGCATTGGGTACATAGATCAGTGTTTCTCAACCTTAGCAATTTTAAGCTGTGTGAATTGCAACTCCCAAAATTCCTCAGCCACCCTTGCAAGTTGAATTGAGAGGGATTGCCCAAGGTTACCCAGTGAGTTTCCACAGATTAGGCTGGATTAGTAATTTATAATATTTGAGAATGCTTAATTCAACCTGTCATTAAGGAGTTAGAAGTAGGTTTTCTTCCCCCTTCTTCTTTGGGCAGGTGATTTTGAACCTAATAATTGTGCAACCCTAAGCTTTTTCAGACAGTGGTCCAAATGAGATGTGAAATTATTTGTATCAAATGTGGATTTTTAATTAAATAGGAATCCTGGGATAGAGCATTGGGCCATGGTAGGTGTAGAAGGAAAGTAACAAAAAAAAACATTCATATTAGTGATTGAAGGACTATGATATCTGGAGTTGGTAAAAGGCCATAAGAAAAGGATTATTTCAAGAGTGAAGTAGTACTGAAGTATGAATTGACAAAGGCAATTTTAGGCTGCATCAACTCAGTTTCAAATCACCATGACAATTTATTCTATCTTGGTTAAAACCTGCTTTGAGTACTATGATCAGTTCTGGATATTATGCCTTAAGAAGGATTCAAAGAAACTAGAGTAGGCTGGGTTTTTTTAATCATTCCAAAATAGAGAACCTGAAAAGGTATTTTAAATTACAGGAAGGCAAATTCCAGGTGAATAAAGATTGTATTTTCAAGCGGTTAAGCAATAGCACTTAGACTTATATACCACTTCCCAGGGGTTTATAGCCCACTCGAAGCAATTTACAGAGTCAGCATATTGCCCACGACATTCTGGGTCCTCATTTTACCAACCTCAGAAGGATGGAAGGCTGAGTCAACCTTGAGCCTGGTGAGATTTGAACTGCCAAATTGCAGACAGCAGGTGATCAGCAGAAGTAGCCTGCAGTACTGCACTCTAACCACTGCGCCACCGCGGCTCTTAAGAGCAATTTGACAATGGAACTGATTGAAAGACATGGTGGAGTCTCCTGCTGTATTCCTGTTCAAGCAGAGGCTGAATGGCCATTGGCCATGCTTTAATTTGCATTCCTGCTCAGAGCAGTGAGTCAGCCTCAGTAATCTAAATGGCCCTTTTAACTCCAGGAGTCTAGAATTATTGACAGATCTACGGATGACCAGATTTGTTTTGACATTTTTAGTTCAAAATGCCATTGCCCAGCCTGTAAAGTTTGAATCTCACCAGGCTTAGGGTTCACTTAGCCTTCCATCCTTCTCAGGTCAGTAAAATGAGGACCCAGATTGTTGGTGGCAATGTGTTATTGACTCTGTAAACTGCTTAGAGGGGGCTGTAGAGCACTGTGGAGCGGTATATAAATCTAAGTTGCTGTTGCTATTGCCATTTCATTCTATATTGTACACAGTAAGGTTTAGTAAGTTTTATGGCTTAGAATGTGACATCCAAAAATGAAAGAACTGTCAAACTGGAAACCTAGGTTACAAGAAACTTACAAGTCGTTACAACGACTTGGAATTGCTACAATTTCATTTTGGATGGCATGATAACCTAAAAAGCATGAACACATGCTATATGCCGGTGTTGGGATATGTCAGTGATGAAATTCAATTTTTTTACTACCGGTTCTGTGGGCATGGCTTGGTGGGCATGGCAGGGGAAGGATATTGCAAAATCTCCATTCCCACTCCACTCTGGGGCCAGCCAGAGGTGGTATCTGCCAGTTCTCTGAACTACTCAAAATTTCTGCTACTGGTTCTCCAGAACCTGTCAGAACATGCTGAATTTCACCCCCTGGGATTTTATCTGTGCAATGTGTCAAAATTGCAGTGTCTGAAACTTAGCTTTGTAGCTTAATTAGTCCCACAAACATCTGCTACTAACCAGAACAATAAAACAAAAGGCCAAATGATATTACAACACACATTTTGTTACCTGACCCTCCCTGCACACACCTATGGCTAGTAATTAGACTAGCTGTTTGTGATGATAGTAGAATGAAGCAACCGGAACTGGAAAAGTAATGATTTGGATCTTGTACTTTCTCAGTACAGCCTTTCCTGATTTTACACCCATTTAGATCTGCTGTGATTGCATCTTCCAGAAATGCTGAAGGCTAAATAGGCTGGATAAACCTGCTATGGCATTTGCACACGCTACACACAATTCAGCACATGATATACCAGAGGGAATTTTAATAAGACTCAATGACTGAATCACCCAAGAATAACGAAACTGCTGCCACCGGTCAATATCCATCTGCCTAATTCTTAAACTGAGTTCTGGATTTGATTTAAAGATGATTTTTTTTTCTGTGAACCATCTAACAAAGTACAAAAAACATTTTCTTTTGTTTTTATTTTTTTTTAAAAAGGAATTTATTGTGGTTATTTTCACCTACTGCTGGACAAGTGTACAAATGTCAATCATTTACATACCAATGTGTTGAGCATTAAATTTATAATCCATCCCTGGTCTTTAACATCACTGTCCTTTTTAGTGTACAGGTGGGTGAGAAAAAAATTATTAAATCATATTCACAGAATATACATGGTCGTGCAATCACCAGCTCTAAGCCAGCGGTATAGACACCGTCCCATTCGCTCTACTCCTGCTCCTGAAGTGAATGTTTGAATCAGTCACGTCTTCAGCATGCTCTTCACTTTTCTTCTCTTTTAAATTGTTGATAAATCTCAGTGTAATTTCATCCCATTCCTCAGGAAGAAGCATTAGCAGGAACCCAAGGCAGATGAAGATGGTGGCTCCCAATCGGACGACACTAAAAATCACCTCACGTTTGAGGAGATCAACAGCTGGGGGATGGGGGATGCAAAAAGAATGAATCAAAATATCCCTTCTCTATTTGTCAACTCAATTACGGGGAAGGGAGACAAAAGGAGACAACCATTTTAATAATTTTTCAGTGTAAAGGAGGAAACGTTTTCAACCTAGTTACATTATTTTTGGATGGTGCCCACAATTTTTTCTAGCCACCATCAATCACCAGAAAAACAGACTGCATGGCTGCCCACCTTGAACGTAAGGATTTCCCCAAGAATTGGAATTCAGCAGAAGAATCTTTCACTGACTTTTGGGTCCCTAATTTAGTTTGCTAAAACAACCCTATTCGCTCTCTCACACTGAATCTATAGTATAGGACAGGGGTCTCCAACCTTGGCAACTTCAAGACTTGTGGACTTCAATTCCGAGAGTTCTGGGATTCTGGGAGCTGAAGTCCACAAGTCTTAAAGTTGCCAAGGTTGGAGACCCCTGGTATAATAGGACACACTGGTATCATCAGTTTTGTTCACCTGAAATCACAGCAATGATAGAATATGACAGGAGTTATATTATATTAGAGTTAGGATAAAGGTCTGCCTGTCTTACAGAAATGTGTTCCTCCCACCAGCTGATTTGGGGTGACCACTGTGGAACATTCATAGGCATCCTGATTTCTTGGAGCTTCAGTGTATGAAGATCAGGAGACAGTTTAATAGCTAAGCAGGCTACGAAAATCAGTTTGGCTGAGGAGCAGGCAAAACACATCTCAGTCAGGGCCTAAGGTGATGAGAGGCTGTTACATCTTCCAAGAACTTTAGAGGCTAATGGGCCATGGATCAAAGTCAAAGAAGCACACAGGCACATGCATTTTATGTAGTGCTTGGGAGTAATTAGTTAAAGCTGGATTTCTGTCTCCACTAGAATTTGCATATATGCTGAAGAGGTGTATATCTAGTTAAATTCACTCTTAGCATCTCTCAGAATGTTCTCTGCTTGCCCTGATTAATCTCGCATCCTTTTGCACTAGGATGGCATTCCCTTCTCTGTGCTATTCCTTGGAAAATTTTTATGAAGAATCTGGTGTTTCCTCTATAGAAGTACTGGAGATCTATTCCAACAGTACAGAAGAAACTAATAAAATGAATTTATCGCTATACTTTTTTAAAAAAAAATCATTGCCATCCATCATTTGTACCTGCATTGCCAGGAACACTGAGTACTGTCCCAATAGATATTAAGATTGGATATGTAAGCACAACACCAACATTCACCAAAATGTTGAAAGCTATGAAAGAAAAAAGAAAAGGAGAAAGTGAAGACCTCTCTCACATAATAACTAGATTTCAACCTGCAAGACTGAAATTAACTCATTTAAATCCCGCTAAACTTATCTAAACCATCCTCTTTTTGTAGTACCCAGCATCTGATCGACCGGTGTATGTATGTATATGTGTGTATATGTATTACGAAACGCTGAATTACACAATACTACTAACTTTGTAACTTCTAAGTTAAAAGTTGGCATTTTAGTACTAAACAAGTTAGCACTAAACAGGAGAAACTGTTGATTGGAGGTGGTTGGTGCACTAACAGAGATGGCAACCTATCTCTCACCCTCCAAACCCTTGTTTTTTAATTTCTTTTAATTTTTCTAATTTTAATCTCTCTCTCTCTCTCTCTCTCTCTCTCTCTCTCTCTCTCTCTCTCTCTCTCTCTCTCTCTC